TAAAAACATTTCAAGAGATTTAAAAGATAAAACAGATATAGAGTGTCAATTTTTTGAAACAGCAGAGGATGTTCCAGAACCTGAAAGTCTTAACTCTATTAAAAATAATTTAATGATATTTGATGATTTACAATTAACAAAACAAAACAAGTGTGAAAAGTACTACATAAGAGGAAGACATAGCAATGTTGATTGTTTCTACTTGGCACAAAATTATTTTGAGTTGCCTAGGAGAACGATAAGAGAAAATGCAAATTTTATATGCTTGTTTAAACAAGATTCTAAAAATGTAAATCATATTTATAATGACCATGTTTCAAATGATATGAAATTAGATGAGTTTAAAAAGTTTTGTAATGAAGCTTGGTCAAAAAAGCATGGATTTGTTGTTATAGATTTGTCTTCTGATTTATTAAATGGAAAGTATAGAAGTGGATTAGATTTATTTTATTATCCAACTTCATTGTGGAATCGATAAATATATATTTTTTAAAAAATATATATTATAAGATAGCATGGGTCACTTCGTGACCTAAAGAAAAAGACCTAATAATGGTATATTCTTAAATGGAGAATTTTCTCCTAATAACAAACCTCTACCTACTGATGAATATTCATTTCCATTTTTAGAATAATATCCGTCTAAATAATTATAACTACCATTCCATGGGTTTAAAAATACTCTTTTTCCTACTTTTCTAATTTTAAATCCATAACCATTCTTTTTTCCATAAATAATACCATTTCCAGCAATTTTATTAACTATAGTACTTCCAGCAGCTGCAGCTGTTCCAGTCAATAATCCTGTTGCTATAGCCGGAACAACTTTTGATGCAATTACACTTCCAATTAATCCTAGTAGAGGTAGAAATCCACCATTTTTTTTAGCATTATGTTTAAGTTGTGCTCTACTCAGTGAAAGTGTTATACCCTTTTTTTTTAAATAGGCTGCTTTCATTCTGTTTCTTTGTGACTCTGTTAAAGCTATTTTGTGTTCACCATTTAAATCTTCATATGATAGTTTTATACTTGCATTAGTATCAGATTCAATTGCTTTTTTAATTTTTTCTTTCTGACTATCTGAAAGATTGATAAGAGTATCATAGTATTTTGTCATTTTTATATATAAAATAATTTTTTAAATCACTTCATGATTATTGCTTCGCTAATTCATTTTAAGTTATTGCTTTCTGTAATGCTTTATAGTCATCATCATCTATTTGACCCTGTCGTAACAACTCATCACAAATAGCAACAATCTCATTTCTTGTTCCAGTATTTCCTGCTTGTAAACCAGCTAAGCGTAATTTAAGCATCTCAAATAGTGCATTTGGATCACTAGGAAGAATGACAACTCCTTTTCCAGACTTTCCAATCATCTCTTCCCAAATAGGTTTTATTACATTAGTGTACTTATAACTTTTAGATGATCTTGGTTTAGCTAAATTTAAATTAGAGCGAATTGCATCTGTTTGATATAAAATTTCTTTATACTTATTACGATCATTGTTAGTATATTTAACAGGATGAGATTTTACTATGATTTCCCAAAGACCAGGTGTACCAGTGTGTTTTTTATCTTCAATAGTTATATCATTACCTTCAATAGTTATTGGTTTTTTACCAATGTAAAATTTTTTATCACCTTCATTGTAATGTATACCAAATATGTCATCTGATACTTTTTTACTATTTTTAGTAGTATATAACTTTAAATATTCTGCTGCGATAGGTCCTAACAACATTTTATCTACAACTTCAGGTGGCATGATTGCTTTAGTTTCAGAATCTAGTAAAGCAGGATAATTTGAAAAAGTATTAGCTATTTGATCAGCTTTATTTTCTAATTTAGATATACCTTCTTTTATTCCAGATTGACTATCAATTATTGGTTTGTACAACTTTTCCAAGTTAGTCTGTAAAGCATCATAACCTAACTTTTCATTAATAGAATCTTGATATACACTTTTTTTTAAACCCTCAAGTTCTTTTGCTATTTTTAATCTTGTATCAATATCTGTAGCTTTTGCAAACATTTTTATATATCCAATAATTTTTTTAAATCACAATGTGATTCTCAGATCCCTAAAGGGATTAAATCAACATATATTATGTTAGTAATACATAATATATGTTCAATTAATACAAAATATATGTTTTTTTATTTAATTTTTAAGAGTATTATTCATAATTCTTATACTTTAATTCTTATTAAATTTCATATTTAGCGCTTCTATAATATCACTTTTGCCTTTTTCTATTCCTTTATTAAATATTGACTTTTTAGTCTGCTCATCTATATCTTTCTTAGATTCTGTTCTAATTTGTTCGACCATAGCTAGAAACTTTTCATATTCTGAAAGTATCATTGCAAATTCTACATCATCGATAAAACCATCTTTTAAAGCTTTAGAAATAATACCGCTTATCGTATTTAATTTTGCATCAGCTAATACTTTAATCTTTTCATGCTTTTCTGCTTTTTTATTATACATTATAATTACTTGAGATCCTATTAATGATAATGCACCCATACCTAATGCTGAACCTTCACATGCAATAGCTACTGGTGCTCCAGCTATTGTCGTTAAAAAACCAATACCAACAGCTCCAAGTGTCATAGTAGTTGCATGTAATGTATTATTAACAACTGAAATTATTCTTACAGCTCTGTGATATTTTTTACTCAACTTAGCTCTTTTACTTCTTTCACATTCTATTTTACTTTGAATTTCACTTATTTTATCTAATCTATATCTCTGATCTATAGATAGTGGTGGTGCAGATGGATTTTCTGAAAACTGGTTAAGATCTGGATAAAGCTGTTTACATTCATTATTACATTGCATTTCTTTTTTCTATAAAGCAAAATTTGTTTTAAATCACTTTTTACCAAAATCAAATAGAGCATTGTCAGATTTATCTATACTAGGTTTTTCTTCATCACATATAGTTTCTTTAATTATTCCCCCTATACTTGATAATAAAGATTTTACAGATTCTTTATCACTTTTTGATCTAGATTCTACTTTTTTATCAAGTTCTAAAGCAACCCTATGTGATATATAATTTGCATTAAAAACACCATTATAAGATAAAGTACAGCATAACAAATCTCCTTTTTTAATGTTTATATCTTTTTTATCGTTATTATATAAAGTTATTTTAATATCATCAGTAGACTCTATTACAACAGAATTTAGTAAATTTAGTGATGGTTTATAATTTTCTGCAAGTAAAATCATTACATGTCCTTTATCTATTTTGACTCCACACATTAAAGAAATGTTATTATATGAATTTGATTTTACTGTAAAATTTTCTTGTGCAAATACTTTAATATGTCTATCATTTATTGCTCTATGTTCTAAATCTGAATTAATATTAAAAGTTATTGTATATTTTTCATGCTTTTCATAATCTAAAAACATTCTTCTCTTATACATTTTTTTAAAATGTAAAGATTTTTTTAAATCACTATAAATATAATACTTTTAAAGTATGATATTTTTTTCATTTTTTTAAAGTTCTAACAATATAATTTAAAATACTTTCACCTTGATGTAAAAAATAACATGTTTTATCACTTTTATTTTTATATATTGTTTCTATTTCTCCTTTTTTATTTTTCTTTAATTTACTCTCTACTAATTTACATGGAGTATAATGACAAATTTCTACATTTTCTTCAATTTCTTTTTTAGAATGAGCATATTTGCAATTTATATTTTTACATTCTTTTTTATCAAGAATATATTTGCATAATTTAGTTTTAGCTTTTCTTAATTTAGATAATTCTGACTTTTTAGGATGAAATAATACACACTCTTTATTCCTACATTTAGGATAATCATAGCAAATATGAATATGTCTATATTGGCATGAAGATTTAGTGCATATTAGTCTTTCCTTTACAGTATTACAATAAGGAATATCATGATTGTATTTACATTTTCTTTCAAAAGGGCAGAAATTATCATTTAAAATATTTTTACAGAAAATGGGTAGTTTTTCTACAAAATGAATTGTTGAAAGTTTTCCATCTTCAGTAAAATTAATATCTACATTAAATGGTTTTTCAAAGCTAAATTTTCTTTTTTTGTAACGTTTTTTAAAAGAAGTATTATCTATAGCAGGATAATCATCATTAATAACATTATAAGTTGGAACATAATTAATCCATTTCAGCTTATCTTTATGCAGTTCCATGATTTGAACTGTTTTTAAAGGAATTGGAACTATAGGTTTTTTTTTAACTTCATCTTCATCATCAGATGTAAAATAAGTAGCTTCATCAGATGTATAATAAGTGTCATCTTCAGAATCTGATTCTTCAAATTCAAATTTTAATAATTCTTCAAAAAGTTAAAATTCTTTTTGAAATTCAGATATTTCATTAATCTCATCATCAATCATTTTTATTTTTATTATTTGTAAAAATATTTTAAATCAAAAAATTAAAAATGAGTTAAATAATTTTCTTTACATAATAAAAAGAATGGAAAATAAACTTGAAGAATTATTAAAATTAATAGATGAAAGATTAAGATTAATAGAAGAAAAATTAAATATTAATGATACTCATGATATTGAAATGACTGAAGATTTTGAAGTTACTACAGTTACTACTACTGAAGTTATTGAAATTACAGAAACTACTGAATATGATAATGATATTGAAATGACTGAAGAATATGAAGATGATGAAGATGAAGAAGAAGTTACTACAGTTACTACAGTAACTACTGAAATTACAGAAACTACTGAATATGTTAATGAAGATGATGAAGATAAGGTTGTTGTATTTGATTATGAGACTACACAGAATTAACAATCTTTTATTATTTTATTTTTGTAAAAAATAAAATAAATTGAAAATGAGTTAAATAATTTTCTTGTATATATAAAAAGAATGGAATTAGAAAATAATTTTGAGACTAATAAATTTTTTATAAAACTTTCAACTCAGGTATATTATATTACTTCAATATTAAAAAAGTATGGGTATGAGGAAGGAAATAAAGTTGCCTTTGCTGCAAGTATAAGAAGGATTGATTTAATTAAATTATTAATTCAATTAGGTTATAAAGAACATCTTGAAGTAGTGAAATATTTACGTTCTATAGGATATAGAGGAACAGAAGCAGCAATAGATAATGCTTTAATGAATGGTAACCTTGAAGTACTAAAATATTTACATGAATTAGGGTATAGAGGAACAGAAGCAGCAATAGATAACGCTTTAATGAATGGTAACCTTGAAGTACTAAAATATTTACATGAATTAGGGTATAGAGGAACAGAAGCAGCAATAGATGATGCTGCAGAAAATGGACACCTTGAAGTAGTGAAATATTTACATTCTATAAGATATAGAGGAACAGAAGCAGCAATAGATAATGCTGCAGAAAATGGACACCTTGAAGTAGTGAAATATTTACATTCATTAGGATATAAAGCAACAGAAGAGACAATTAATATTGCTGTAAAATATGAACGCCATGAAGTACTTGAATATTTACATTCATTAGGTTATAAAGTTTCAGAAGATGTAATTAATAATGCTTTAAAATATGGACGTCTTGAAGTACTCAAATATTTACATTCATTAGGTTATATAAGTTTAGAAGATATCTTCTATATAATATTGCCAAACTTAATAGTAGTGTCCCTTGGAGCGTATTTGACACGAAACCCTTGGCAGCCATTGCAACCGAGGTATTGGCAAGAAAGAGTCGCAGCACTATAAGAATACGTGAACGAATATCTAACGTACGTAAACTTTAAACTAAGTAAGGTTAAAGCAAATGTTAAAACATACTGAAACATTTATTATGTTTTACAGTTTGATTTTTACTTGAAAATTACATTGTGTCAACCTCTCCTTAATTTTGATCTAACAATTTTTTCCTTAAAAAAATTACTACATTATTATAAAATCTACACATAATGATATGCCGGTGTAGCTCGAGTGGATAAGGCGGCGAACTTCTGAACAAGGAGCTAGAGGTTCGACTCCTACCAATGGCGGCTATTTTTTTTAATTTTTTTAATTATTTTAAAATACAAAATACTTTCGAAGTTTTATAAAGATTATATACAAACATATGTAACGATGTTATGCACTCACAAAAGAAAAGATTTTAAGAAAGCTAAAACTTCATAAAACATTTAAAAAAAAAAAAAAACATCACTAGGAGAAAAAATATGTTGCGTATCTATGATAATTGAGACACTTATGTTATTAATGTGCTCATGTAATTAGTCCTAATAAGCTGCGGATGGTCTGAAAAAAAAGTTGTCTGAAACTTAATAAAGAAAAAACTTAACAAGACAGCCCTGCTACTTCAGAAGATGCTGCTGTGGAGGCAAAAAAAAAAAAAAAAGCCTGTAGCTAGATAAAACTTTAAAACTTTCTTTTGGCAATTAAAAGTTTATTTTGCTACATTAACTTTTTTACTATAAATATATACAGCAACTGTTTTTCAAAACGCCTTAATATGCTTATGACGTAATTAAAAAAAAAACGCAATTAAAAAAAAAATTGTTTGGAAAAACTCTTCGTAAAACGTTTTTTGAAACAAGTAACTTTTATTTAGTTTTTTTTTTCTTTTGTGCAACTTTCTTTTCAATAAATTTCTTTACCTTTCAGAATATAACCATTTTTAACAATGCTATAGAAAAAAACAGTAAATTGATTAGTAGTATTTCAATTATATTAATTAGATTAAATTATATATATTAAATTATATATTATATATATATTAAATTAAATAGATAAATAAATTGATATACAGTTAATACATGTGTATTTTTTTTTTTTGAAAAAACTTAGTGACAAAATAGACTAATTAGATAAGTCGTTAAGTAGAATGCTAAGAATATATTTATGGTGGTTATTGTTGTTAAGGGTGATTAATATGCAAATAAATTAAAAGCTAATCAGGGTTTTGAATAAATTATAAACTAATCAGGGAAGTTTTATTTGTAAACCTAATAAATAGGAAGATAACATATAATTCAGGTAGACATTGTTTTCACTTTTTCGCCAAACTTTGATATATTTGATATTAAAAAATATGACCTTTCCAATAATTACAGATGGTAGTGTATTAACCTTTTATTTCGGAACCACAATCCGTTATGATTTGTTTTTTAACAATGTGAACGAAAGTCTATTCAATTATCTAAATATGTAAACTTTAAGTTCTTTAATTATCAATCAGTATTATTATGAAGTAGATGACATCAAATTCTACCGATTTATTTTTACTTAAAAATTTCATTGCGACAATATCTCTTTATTTTAAAGCATTAAATGTTGTTTTTTAAAGTTTAATAAGTTTTCTGTTTATTAAATAGTGTAAAAAGATGATATAGCATTCCAAAGCGATTGAAGTGCTTCGCTTGGGTTCAAAACCTTTTGCATACACAATTTTTTTTTTAAATCTTATCCTGTTTTCTAGAAAACAAAGAAAAACAAGTTTAAATGCATATAGATGTTATACGCATTACATAAAAATAAAGATATAATATACTATAACAAACCAAACGGAGAGAATTTTTTAAAACGTTTTTTAAAATTTCTAAAAACATAAAAACGCTGTACTTGATTCACGTGTGAATAAAACGATGATTTATTTTAGCCGCTTTTAATTGAAATCAACCAAGATATGCTGCCCTCCCCTAACCCCGTGAATCAAGCACACCACCCTAAAATTTAACTAAAGTTAAAAAATATATAAATTAATTTTTAGAACTTTAAGAGGGTGGACCCAAAACTCAGTTTTTGTTTATTCCGCTATTTTGATTGATGTTTTTGTAAAGCAGTAAACCTTAAAAACACATAGAAGCTTTAAGGTGTTTAAGCTATAATTTTATAAAACGTGTTTAAGCTAAAATAGACTTTTAAGTCTTTTAACTACTAAACTTTCACGTAAAATGAAACTTTTTGTCATTTACTGAATGTGTTAAATTATAAAACTGTGCAACAGTTTTATAATTTAAGACAAATCTTATATGTTTAATTGAAAAAGTGAATATTTTAAAAATTAATTATGTCTATATATATATTAGATGTTCAAGAGATCAGAGCCGAAGAGCTCTTGCCAAGTAAGCTAACTTTGTATGAGAAGGATATGTTACAAAGATATATATTTCACCAATTTCAGCAATTTGTTAATTATAACTTTTTTTTAATGTTTAGCGGAAGTAATGGACAAGCTAAGTCAGGAATTTTTTTGTTGTTGTTGTTTTTTTTTTTTGTGTGCAAATATAGTTATGCTTTTTTAGTTTTTTTAAAGTTATTTAGCAACTGACTTTTGTCAGTTGTGACAGTTTGTCAGTCAGCAAGTGACTTTTGTAACTTTCAAATTTATTTTATTTAGAAAAATTAGAAGATTCAGTTGAGAATCTATGTAAGCAATTTGTTATTGTTGTTGTCATGCTTTTTATTTTTTTTATTACATATTTATTTAACATAAAGTTATTCTATATATGGCAAGTTAGTTTATTTTAATGTTTATAAGTTTTTCATTTTATTTAGAAAAAGTAGAACATTCAATGGGTAAACAGAATTTGATTATATTTCATTTGTGTATTATAGATAAAGATATAGCATTTTACTTTCAAAAAAAAAAAGGTCTACTCTTTGGTCTTTTAGCTTTTTTGATACAATTTTTAGCATTTTTTTTATAGGGCTTATACTTCAACAGCTAAGTAAATTACTATAATGTTCTTATTTATTTTAATTTTTTCTTTTTTTTTTGGAACTTTTTTCTTTTTTTTTTTTTTGGTTTGTTTTGCTTCGTATATTATATGTATATTATAATATTCTGCATGTTAGTTTCTTTCTTAATGTTAATGAGTTTTTTTTTATTCTATTTAGAAAAATTAGAAAATTCAATTGGTAAGCAAAGTTCACTTATGTTTCATTTTGTTTAATTTTATTACACTTTTTTTGATGTTTGTGTGCGGTTTTATCACTTAAAATAAACTGTTTAATTGATTAGTATATGTTAGTTTATGTAAATATATTTTTTACATCCACTATAGCGTCATCTGCAGTACCATCTGGTAATGTGTTTTGCAATCTTATGCAGTTTTAAGAGTGTTATGTGTGTTAAAACTTAAAGATAGCATATCTTAATTTACAGATTACTTTATTTATTTTTTTTGTCTCTACATTAACACCTCAAGCAATAATATCAGGTAATCTGTTTAGCATACTTATGCAGTTTTATGGGTTTTATGTGTATTAAAACTTAAATTTTTTTTTTTTCATGTTTTCATGCAATTACATAAATGTTTAACACATGTTACTTTATGCACTTTTTTTTTTACTTTTACAATAGCATCAATATCATCTGCAGTGCCATCAGGTAATGTGTTTTGCATACTTATGCAGTTTTATGAGTGTTATGTGTATTAAAACTTAAACATTACTTTTTTCATGTTTGTTATCAATTACATAAATGTACAACATATGTTACTTTATACATTTTTTTTTTACCTTTACAATAGCATCAATATCATCTGCAGTACCATCAGGTATTATGTTTTGCATACTTATGCAGTTTTATGAGTGTTATGTGTATTAAAACTTAAAGATTGCATATCTTATTTTGCACATCACTTTATTTTTTTTTGTCTCTACATTAACACCTCAAGCAATAATATCAGGTAATCTGTTTAGCATACTTATGCAGTTTTATGGGTTTTATGTGTAATAAAACTTAAACATTACTTTTTTCATGTTTGTTATCAATTACATAAATGTATAACATATGTTACTTTATACACTTTTTTTTTTTACTTTCACAATAGCATCAATATCATCTGCAGTACCATCAGGTAATATGTTTTGCATACTTATGCAGTTTTATGAGTGTTATGTGTATTGGAACTTAAACAATACTTTTTTCGTGTTTGTATGCAATTACATAACTGTTTAATATGTGTTTGTTTATATACTTTTTTATTTATTTCCGTAATAGCAACAGTATCAACTGCAGTACCACCAGGTAATGTGTTTTCCATACTTATGCAGTTTTTCCATACTTATGCAGTGTTATGTGTATTGAAACCTAAACATTACTTTTTTCATGTTTGTACGCAATTACATAACTGTTTAATATATGTGTTAGTTCATATTTTTTATTTATTTCTATAATAGCAACAATATCTGCAGGACCATCAGGTAATCTGTTTTGCATGCTTATGCAGTTTTATGGGTGTTATGTGTATTTGTGTAGGTATATATGAAATTTAATTTATCCTTATTTTTACATTACTTTTTTTTTTATTTTTTTTTGTCATAACTTTTTTTTTTTTAAAGTCTAAATAGTTTTAAATAATATTTTTATTGGTTGTTTTGTGCAGTATTGTATTCAAATTTATTTCTTTTTTTGTTTTTGTTTTTTAGCAGCGCATCAAGATTTCCTGCGATATTGCTCCCAGCACCCAGGTCCGATATCTCAAAGAGCTTTCTACCGGTGGTGTCAATATAGGGGAGATGATCCCTCCTTTAGATGGAGGAGACAAGCCTCATATGACACCACTGGTAGAAGCGGTGCTACTAATTAGTGGTGTTGCTAGCCAAGCGGTGTTACTAATTAGTGGTGTTACTTGGCACTTAATGCCAAGCGGTGTTACTAAATTGTGGTGTTACTTGGCAGCGTTTAGTGCCAAGCGGTGTTACAAGTGTTGAGCTAGGTTGTGTTGTCTAGCTTTTTTAATTATTCTGGAAACACATAATCTGAATATTTTGTGTTATGTGCAAATGTGTTATGTAAAAATAATTTATGCTATGTGTATTCAGTAGCATAGGCAGGGTCTTTTGATGCTTTATATAGCACTTTCAACCAAACTTAAGTGTATTCACGTTTATAGAATTAAAATACTTTGCAAAAAATTGATGCTGTTAAAGCTTAGGAACAAATGTTTAAAAAAAGTGTTTTTCCTAACCTGAATTTTTTTAGACATAACAAAGTTAAACTCTTCAACAGCTTCTAAATATATATCTGAAACAACAAAAATCCCACCTACACTACTGGTGTTATTGTTTGTCATCCTGTAATGTTGTTGTGATGTTTTGTGTTGATAGACAGCTTGGCTTACCTTCACGTTGGTGTCTATCGTTAAAAATGATTATTGGGTAGCTTCATTACTGAAACTTACTCCTAATCATTCACTAAAAGCCAAGAAATATTTTAAGAAAAAATGCCGAATTTTTTTGTGTCAATAAAAATTTTTATCTTGAGCAATGCTGATAAAACTGATTTTTTAAAAAAAAAGATTATTTCCAGCCTTCTAACCAAATATTAGAGACTTTTCCAAAAGCACTCTCACAAAGTAAGTGTTTAATATTTCTTTAATATTACTAAATTTCGTTTCGTATTTTTTATTTTTCAAATGAATTAACATAAAACAAATAAATGTGCATTCAGTGTTATCAATAATGATTTTATTTCGTTTTTAGATAATGCTTTTATAATCAATTTAAAAGTCTTTCAAATCGTTAATCATTTTCTAAAGGCGAAGAAGAAGAATCATCAATCTTCATACCATTTAATAAAGCTATTTTAATAAAACGCAATACAAATTGTTGTAAATTAGTATTTCAATAATTTTCACGTTGTTACCTTATTTTGCAGTTTCCTATCACTTTGTATTGAATTAACTAAATCCAATATTACAGTTCCTTTTATCAAGTACTTCACATTTTCTGTTTTTGTTTTATGCAGAAAAACAGATCAAGTTAATTTATTTAACTTGCCTAGCTACTTATTTTACACGCCTAGCCACAGTGAGTGTGCATAAATCAACAGAGGATTTGGGTTTGGGCAGGTTGTCTTGAACTAAATGGTTTACCTTCTTCATGTTAAGCTCTAAATATAAATATACGGAAAAGGTGCATATGTGATTTTTTTTTTTTTTTTTTTCTAGCACATAATCTATTGATCACTAAAAAATATTAGAGGGAGAAATAGAGATAAGGTTAATGTGGAATAGAGTTTGTCCTTTTAGGTGAAAAACTATTTTATAATCTATCTATCTTCTATATAATAATGCCGAACTTAAAAGTGTTAGTAGAAAGAGTCGCAACACTTTTTTTATAAGAAAACGTGTATACAAATATCTAACGTACGTAATTAAGTAATGATGAAACATACTGAAACATTTTTCAAGTTTTATAGTTTGACTTTGACTTAAAAATTGCATTGCGTCAACCTCTTCTTAATTTTTGATCTACAGCAATTCCGTTTAAAACAATTTTTATATATTTTTAAAATTTCGATATTTGATGTGTCAGCATGGCCGAATGGTTAGCGAGCTAAGCTTCTGAACGTAATAGTCGTGGTTCAAATTTACCACCAGCGATTTTTTTCTTAGAATCTTTAAATTACAAAATATTTGTAAAGTTAAACAAGTTAAATGTTATACACTTAAACCGTTTTTTCTTTTTAAATTTTATAAATTTTTTGGATTTCTAAAAACACCAATAAACGGGGCGAAAATTTGTTGCGTGCGTGTCATGATTTTGATACTGTTCTCACATAATTGGTCCTAATAAGCTACGGATAGTCTTAAAAAAAAAGTCCTAAAATCTAATAAGGAAAAAAATTTGATAAAACCGTCCCGCTACTCCACATGGTATTGCAGTGGAGGCAGAGGAAAAAAAGCAATTAAAAGGTTTTTCGCTATATTTAATTTTTTGCTATAAATATAGCCAGATTAAAAAAATTAAAAAAAATGTATGGAGATTTTTTAGGCGCGGATTTGAAGCATTGCACAGCGACTCTGATGACTGCGCACTTAACTTGTGAGCTATCAAAGTTATGCATGTAGTTAGGTGCTTCAACATTTTTTTAAAAATGTAAAATGAAAACAAAATAAATACCATAAGTAAGAGCTAAATAATAACGTTTAAAAATTACCAAACCTTTTATTATATTATTATTAGTTTTTCAACTTTTAAACCACAAAATTTATAATTTATTTTTTTGCATGACTTTTGACGCTTTAAGTGACTAACGTTTTAAAGAATTGCATTACCGTTTCCGTCTAATACAAAGGTAACTATAAAAGACCGTTATTATTCAAAACTAAGCATATAATAACAATAAATATAGTAAATAGTAACTATTGAAAATGGCTAGGACGCGACCATAAACCATGGTCCATGGCTGCAGTAGCGTAGCGACAAAAAATTGGCCCCCCACCCCCGCAAAAATTTAATCCGGGCCCCTAAATTACTTCTTTTCTATTCCTTTCCCCCACCCCCCACCACCTTGCCTTTACCTTCCTTCTAGACAAATAATTTATACATGAAAATAAAAAAATGGTAATCTAAAACACAAACTAATGATATACGCATGTTATTTATTGTACTGACACTTTTTTTTAAATTTTTTCTTTGTTGCCTTGAGCCCCTAATAACTCTGGGCCTCCCCGCGGCTGCGGGCCCTGCGGGCCCTTTGCTACGCTACTGCATGGCTGGTCTAAAAGTAGGAAGTAGTTTAGTTCAGAATTTTTAAAAAAAAAATAAATAAACGGGGTTTAATAAGCTATATACGTATGCGGAAAAAGTGCGTATGTTAAAGTTTTTTTTTGCTCTCAAAGCAAATTTTTTTAATGAATTTTTTTCCACCGTTTACTAAAAAATATTGAAGTAAATAAGGAACAAGTAAAGAAATGATTGGCGTGGAATAGATAAATATAGAAGTAGAAGAAAAGACCTGTATTTACCGATACGGACAGCTAGATTAAGAAAATAAGGGAAAAAGTTTGTGTAGAATAGACTTACAAAGACCCGTATTTTTACGGGTCAATTCAGCTAGTATTTAATAATGCTGTAAAAAATATACATTTATTAAGTTATGAAGATTCATCAGATACATTTATTAATGGCATAAAGTATAGTCATCGTCAAGTACTTGAGTATTTACATTCAATAGGATATAAAGAAAAATAAGAAGCAAGAAAATCACGTGACCTGTGACGTCATTTTTAAAACAAGAAATGAAATTAACACTTATTTAAAAAAAATTCAATTTTCAATTTTTTAAAAAATTGAAAAAAATTTCTTATCTAAATAATTTATACACATCATGGTTAGAAATGAACCCTATATTTTTTAAAATATATGGTTGAAAATATGGTTGAAAATAAAAATGAGCTAGAACTCTCATCTCTCTACTACTGGGAATGGCTAATGGATGTATGTTTGGAGTTCCGAGTTCAAATCTCGCTCTTGATCGATTTTTTTTATTGTTTCTTTACTTGCGCTGCCCTCAATTAATCTTAGAATTAATTGCCGGCACAGCCGGCAATTAATTTTGAGCAAGATGTGCCTTAAAGACGTTGAAAGTGATTTAAAAGAATTGGATTATTTTTTTAACAATACAAAATTACAATAATGTATTGTTTATCAACAATGTATTACTCATTATCATGATAATTTTTTTGTGTTATTTTTTCTAACTTTTATCTGACTCTTTAATGAGCTTGAGCAATTTTCTTATCATTAGAGTAATTAAATGTAATTAACAGTAATTAAATGTCAAAGTTAATGTAACAATTCCATAACAATTAAATAAGGATTAAAGCAACTTTTAGATTTCTGGAAATCTTCTTTTTTCAAATATTTTACGATCAGTAATAAATATAATTCGTTAATAAGCAGTTAAACCCATTAAGTTAGTGTATGCATCTCTCTCTTAAATATGTCACGTTGTAGTAAAATTTAATCTTTACTTTTTATAAGAGTTTTACTTGTTTTGATAAATATAAAAGTATAAAAATTAAATGTTTTTTATACTAACGTGTGTTAAGCCCTCACCCACCTCATCCAACCTTTAACTGTAAGATAGACCGCTTAAATTTGCTTTTTTTCTAGAAGAAAATAAAAACCTTTTTTTTTTACATAAAAAAATTTAACTTTATTAAAATAAAAAAATTTTCACGGAAAATTATGCTTTTTTAGGTAGTAAAGATGGTGCTATGTGCCCCCCCCCCCCTAACCGCCTAGCGGCCTGATACAATTAAAATTTGTAGCTCTCTTTTACATCAATCTTTTGATACTAATTTCTAGGCATTTAGTAAAGAATTGGCAAAGTTGTAACAATTTAAGCGAACAAAAACCTTTCCATTTTGACCAAAGTTTCTTCAACAAATCCATATATAAACATATATAAAACTTGTTCATATCCATATATAAATCCATATATAAAACTTGTTCATATCCATATATAAATCCATATATAAAACTTGTTCATATCCATATATAAATCCATACATAAAACTTGTTCATATCCATATATAAATCCATATATAAAACTTGTTCATATCCATATATAAATCCATATATAAGCATATATAAGCATAAATAAGCATATATAAAATTTGTTACTGAAAACCTTATAACTATTTGTAGAGTTATTAGATTTCGATAACTTTTTTTACTAAGGAACAACTTCTGTTTCACAAAAATTACCACTTACATTTAAATAATACTCTATAATGAAAATGTTTCCATAGATAGAAGTCGTAGTTAGGTGCTCCCTCTAGCTCATATTACCGAGATAATATGAGCACTTTAAATTCGCTCAAAAAATTAACACTAATTAAGTAAAAAAAAATTAAACCTAAAAATTACCTAACAATTACGTAACAATTAGAACAAATTTTTAAAATATAAAAATTTGTTATTAACAAAACTTATCATTAAAAGATCAAATTTTAAGCCACTTTTTGTTGAAACTATACTACTTTATTTATTTATTTTTTTTTTTGTTGGTTTGAGTGAATAAAATAAAAAAAAATTT